CAAGTGTGCACAGACTACTTCTGCTGCCTGTGGATCAAGATCTACAACTAACAGTTCTTTGTCCAGCATCATTTCTGCCTGCATGATACTATGTCCTGCATGTTGATAATGGACTGAACCTCTGAACAGTAAGCTTGTTTCCTTTATAAGAGCTGCCATGATCATGGGGCAACTGATCACATTGCACCCACAGTCAGGAAATAGAGGCAGATGAACATTGGCACTTCTCTCTGTCTTAATCAGTCTAGGACTCTGCCTTTGGAATGACATCTTTCCACTTCAATCAACCCTATCAAGAAACATCTTCACAGACATGCCTGAAGGTTTGTCTCCCTGCAAATTTGTCAGTCAGTATGAACCACCATTCCTAGCAAAGGCTAACTGTAAAGAGGTATCATAATCTCATGGTTTTAGAAGCTGAATGTCCAAATAGTTTACCATGAGCTCTGATAAGAACTTCATGGTACATAGCAGAGCATGGAAAGGTAGGCTAGAAATAGTGATTTCTGAATACAACCAGACTCAGGCTTTTGTAACAGTTTTCCTTGTAGACTAATGAAAGTCTCATGAAAAATACTTTATTTCTTTCAAGGGTATGGCCTCAGTTGCTTTTAAGACCTTCTGCTCGCTCTATTTCCTTAAGACTGCCTGATCTCCCAATACTGCCACCCTGGGGACCACCCACCAACATATGAACTTTTGTATGAACACTTATTCACAACATGTTATAGTCACCTTTGGATCTACTTATATGAAACAGGTATTTACCTGGAACTCCCACTTTATTGAGCATTCTGTATTTTACCTGGCTTTTTTTGCTGTGGATTATGGTTAGGTAGGGTTTTTATGATCAAGGAAAGATGCATAAAGTGAATAAAGGCATTGATTAAACAAAGAGTCAACACAGGGAGGAAGAGGTAGAGTGGGAGGGCAGTGTAAGGTGTGTTATGAGTTGTCTGAGTATCCGGTGGGAAAAATAACCTTAAGACCCATTATAAAGTTTTGAGTGCCACTATGACTGATGTGTATTCTGTCAGTAATTATAGGACATTCCACGTGTTAAATGGGGAGAGATTATATAAGCCATCCATCCATCAGTAAGATATATTAGAGAGCATATGTCCTCTGAATTTATCTCAGTAATTGCCTCCAAATCACAGCCTCCTTCAGCCTTAGTTCCAAGAAAAATGATCATAATTAGAATTACATTCTACATTTCCTTCTGATATTCAATCACCAAGCAGACAAGGCCACCATGAATGCTTGTGGGGTACTCCTTTGAGGGTACACACACACACACACACACACACACACACACACACACACACACACACACAGCCTTAAAGCGTTGTTGCCTTAAAACATCCCTCTTGCTCTATTTTATCCCTTGAGCAAGCACTGAACTTTACTCCTGTGTAAAGTTCACTCCTGTGTAAAATGCACTCTCAAGCAAGGACTGTATCCCCACATCTTCTTCCAAATGAGTACATTTGTGTGTAAGTGAGTGTTGTGACTTTCCTGATGTGATACAATGCATTTTCACTCTCATTTCCACCGAACCTTCAGAGGGATCCTATCTTAAAAGGCAAGAGAGAAGTCATATTCAACAGGTGGGGAGAAGGAGACTGCTGGGAGGCTGCTATATTCCAGGTGAGGCGTAATGAACACCTTAGCTGAAGTAATGGAAAAGTATGCTGAAAATGGAAGGAAGAGATGAAAAAGAACCCAGAAATACAAACAAAGGGAAATTCTGACACCTGCATTTTGATCTCCTTAACACTGCTCCCATTTCCTCTAGGGACATGTCCCGGATAAGGGTGAAATCAGATGCTCCTTGGCAGTTTCAAATGACACCGCCCCTAACTTTCCATTGGATAAGAGATGGCCCAAAATAGCCTCTGGTACCACAGTCGGGTGACTACTGAGATTCAGATTCCTATTCTGAAAACACTGGAAGAAGCCAGGCATTTGCCCACTTACCCTCTTAAGCAGCTGCCCCGGGGCATTAGCACCCTGGTGCCTGCTGATGCTGTGCATCTGCCAAATTCGATTTGTCTCATGGCCTTGCTAAGCCAGGTGAACCCTGCATTGCTCCTAAAAGAAGCCCTCCAGGAAGGGGTGATAGGACTCAGAGACATTTTTCTTCTAAGTGTCAGTCACTACTGCTTGTTGGGAAGTTTATGGTAGAGGTGGGGGAACAGAAGGTAAAGTCAAATGTTATTTTAATGATCCCTTTTGAAAACATAGAAAAATCCTTAAAATAGTCATAATTCACTGTTTTTGGTCCTTTCAATTGAGCTTTTTAAAGCCTTTCAGTGTCTGACAGAATAAACCAGGCATTAGGAAAAGGACACTGGAGTATGTTGCTGGCTGGAAGCAGCGGATCGCCTGCCTGTGGGAAACCCATACAGGTCAATTCTCCATAGCCCTAGGCCAGGGGACCCTCATTTGTAGATTTGGCTTCTTGCAGCCTTTGTGCCTGCATTGTTTCTTTTCAGGGCACCTGCAGGAATTGATAGTCCTTAGTCCCAAAGTACAGGGTTAGGTTGAACTGTCTAGTGCCCAGTTTATGACTCCAAAGGTTGGCTTTCTCTTCTAGAACGACTGTCATTGTTGCTATGGTTATGCACCCATTTGCCCTTACTTTACTCTGCTCCCATGCTCATGGTCATGTGTTGACCTAGAGGAAGAGGAGCCAAACCATTGGGAAGACTTCTGAAAAATACTGTTGCCTGGGCTCCACTGCCAGAGATTCCAATTTAACTTGCCTGGGCTTGAGGTTCACATAAGAACCTTTAAATCTTTTCTGTGAGGTTCATATGTACAGGTCAAAATTGAGAGCCATAGGTAACTCAAAATTGAAGCTTTGGGAAAATAGAGATATAACCTTAATCCTGACTATATAATTTATTAAGTATAATACCTCAGATGACTTATTTAAGCCTCTTTGCTATCAGTTTCTATGCCATATGGTTGTTACATATTTTACAGAGCATGGAAAACAGTAAGCATGGTATCTCATATAAATTAAGAATATTCTATTAGAGTATGCTACCAAACTCTTCTCCTTGTAGGTGTTCAACTAATCTTAGGATAGATATCCTTTACTGGTGTCTGACTGAATTGTCTATCTGAAGTCCATCTACAGAATACACATCATCCTTTCATGCTTGATGCCTGCTAAACCTCAGGGGAATATACAGTCTTTAGCAGTTTGACTTTGGTGTCAGAGCTACTCTACTACTTGGAGGACTTATATCAAAAACTTGGAAATGAGAAAAGCGAATCAAGTTCATCTTTTGGGTAAGTTCTAGTCAATTGGAAGTGATTGCACAGAACATAACCGAGCTCAGCTAGAACTTACCAGTGATGCATGACATATATGGAAGAGGGAGAAAAGAGATGGTAGGTGATGCTGTCCAAGACATTTTCTCCACCAACCATTAATAAAGAATAACTTTGTAAAGTGTTGACTTGGCAGGGCTGGAGATGTAACTAAGTGGTAGAGTACTTGCCTATCATGCAGGATGCTAATCCTCAGTACCACTCAAAGAACACTGACCTAGTTGGGACTGAGCACTCCCGAGCTTAGTGAGTGGCTCTAAACATTCATCTACCCAATTCCAGCAACTCACAGGAAGCCTTGCAGTGCTGTTACAAAGCTGAAGGGATGACAGCTGTCCCATTTCTAGGTATTGAAAACAGCTGGCGCAAAGGGAACCAGAGCCAGCCGCATTACATCCACTTTGGGAGGGGCCTTCATGCAATATGAGCTATTTGCATGTTAACCCTTAAAAGAAACAGTCAGTACTCTCTTCTATTTTTGGTTGTGATCCTAGCCTAGGCTGAGCCATTTCTCTATGCCAGGAGACCAGTGCTCTTTTGAAAGTTAAGAATAAGTAAGCATGGCCAGTGTTCTTCCTTTCTGATGGAAGCCCAAATCCCTCCCTCCTTCTCTTTCTTCTTCTCCCTCCCTCTCTTACTTCCTCCCTCCCCTTCTCCTTCTCACTCTCCATCCCTCTTCCTCTTCTCAGTCTCTTTTTTCCCTCTCTCCCTCTCCCTGTATTTTCTGTTCCCTTAGTGTTGTTTTAATTTTGACAGTGGTTAGGACAGTGACTGCAGATGTAGGTTATGTCAAGTCAAACCACTGTGCACTGCTCACCAGCACTGTGGGCTTGGGTAGAAGTTATCTTTGTGTCCTAGTTTCTTTGCACCACCAGCTCTTGATGGATTGTTGTAGAGTGGGTTACTCTGCACAGGCGCCATGGATGCTGCCCACCTCACTAATTTCCTACCATCATGGGATGAGATGGATGCTCGTTTGAGATGAGGCAGGCGACTGAGGCAGGTTCTTTTCATGTACTATGGTCACTTTCAGGGATGTGACTGTGGCTCTGTTTCTCTTTCAGACTTCTTGATTTCAGCCATATGCTATGGCCTCAGCTATGAGACGGTACAGACACTTAGGAGGGATGGACACCATTTGAAATATGTATTCTAGAGAAACACCTTTTGTTGTAGTTTTCTGTTCCATTTGCCTATGAATGTGCAGTGGTCACTCTCTAACCAACAAGATGTATTGCTAGTGAATAAACAGGAGTTGCCTCTCTGAATTTTCTAGGAAAGACAAATCAGCCTTTAATGCTGCATAGGCAAAATGAGATCCTTCTCAGGAACCAGAGGACATCATAGAAGAATCTCTGATGTCTATGCTAGGAAATTTCCCCTAAGAGTTTGCAATGCTATTTGAAGCTTTTGTGTGTGATCCTCACTTTCCCCCAAGTTTTATGTGTATTGCCTCATTGATTCTCACAAGATCTTAAAATATGCAGTATTTTTTCTAGTTTTATTTATAAGTGAGGAAACAAACACAGAGAAGGTGAGTGACTTTCTATTAGTCACAGAGTTGTAGTAGCAGGGACGGAATTCAGACACATGGGTCAAACTCCAACATCTGTAATCTTAATGGCCATAATGTGTGTCTCCTGACAGGTGACAAGATGGGACCCAGAAGAAACAGAGCCTGGATGTCATTGAGAGGAAAGCCAGGCATGAAACAGCAATAGAAAGAGACAGACTTAAAATGGTAACAGGTTTCTAATTGACATGAAGGACTCTGGGCTAGGAATAATCTAAAGTTTGGAGACTGGAGTAAAGATTCTAGGTCATGGTAGGCCAATGACCTTGATCCCCTACTCTGACCAAAGCTTTACTCAGAGTGGTATCCCATGACTAATTTGGAAACTCCTTGTTCTCAAGGCTTTCCTCTCCAGTGGAGAATGTACTTAGTGTTCCAAAGAGGCAGCAAAGCAAGCTGAGATGGTCACATCCTCAGCAAACATGTAATGCCCACCTGAGACACAATGAAAACCCGTTTTGTAACAGAGACTTCTAGACACAATGACAATGGGATGTGAAGCCAGCAGTTTAACTTGGAGGCTCCTCACCACAATTTAGCCACATGTTGCATTTCTCTTTTCAAGCACCATACAGTGGGGCATGTGAGTAGGAAAGAAATAGAACACAGGTAAAGCAGCATTGTCTAGCGTTGGAAGTAAGTTTAAAGACAGGTGGAAATGGTGCACACCTTGCAGCTGGTCAGTTTTGCCAAGGCAATTTTTTAACCTTGTTACATTTCGTTTAAAAATGACTTTGTACGCTGTATTTAAAGTTAAAGTTCTCCTGGAAGCCTGTCCATCACAACCTTTGTTCTGACTCAAGGTACAGCAGTGCTGTGGCATCTGTCAAGTGACAAGGGCACCAAGAATGGAGGGAGGCAGGAGGTAGAACATCTCAAGATGGCCTCCATCATGTAAGTGCTTCAGAAATCTCCTTCATATTTTCGTGTTACTGCAGGTAATGGAGTAGGTAGAGTGCCTTAGAATTAAAAGCTTACTCTAAGAAAGCCTAGCTTACCCTTCTCCTGTGAGTGACAATGGCTTAATAGAGGCTCAGACACACAAAATTGCTTGGCTAGCCTAATTACAGCTGAAATCACCAAACTCCTGCCATAATTCAGTCTTCCATATTGCTGAATGAGAAGTAATTTTAGGCACCCTCCCCTCCATCCAATACACAGAAAAATCTTCAAATGCATCTTGAAATCTAGAATATACAGGATTATGCACACTGAGAGAAACCACACACACACACACACACACACACACACAGTGATAACATGCTCAAGGGGATAAGCCCTTATTTCCACAATCCAATTCCTACAAGGAAAAGGTAAGCTACAAAGACTGAGGAAGTCTTTTGGTCATTTTGGAGGGTCAGCCTAGGACTCCTTATCCTGCTAATGGCTAATTAAGCCAGGGTGTGTGTTTATGAACAGTATTTCATAGAGATGAGGCTACTGGAACGTGCACTTCTTCAGATGGACTAAGCTTTTCCTTGTTAATTTGCTGCATGTTGCCTCTCATTCCCAATGTGTTATAAATAATCACATGCTCTGGGGCCTGACTCCACTACTTTCATTGCTTTGAAAAGAAAGAAAACAAAATGCCAACTATGAGCTGGAGTGAGATTTTCTGGTATGCATTTCCATGCTGGCTTTTAAACCATCAGTGCAACCATGAGCATGGCCCTACTTCTAAACACACAGTGCTCTTAGACTTTAGGAAGTGAAATTCTAAATTGTTTCAAGGTGGTGGAGTCTTGGAAAGGATAGTGTCGTGGAAGGATCAGAGACCACAGTCCCAAACCTTTGGGCTATGCTAATACTCTGCTGCCCAGGTAAACACATAGAAGACTGGGTGTTAAGTTCCCTGTCTAGTGATGCCCATGACTCACCCAGAGTGCTTGTTGACCAGATTGTGGGGCTCAAGCCCCAGAGCCTCCTCCAAGTCTTCAAGTCTAGAGTGGGGCCTGAGAATGTACATTTCTAAAGAGTCCCTAGAGATGCTCCTGCTGCTGGTGGTGGTGGTGGTGACTGGAGATTACTCTGAGACTGGCTGTATTAGTGCAGTAGGAGAAGAGTATGGAGACTATGACTTCCAAGTGAAAACTGTTTAATAGGTTTTCGAGAAGGGCTCTGCTATTTTAAGTATATATATTTTATATCTATGTCATTTCCACCTTCTGACTGCACTAAATTCCAATTCAGAAACCATTTCTGAAACATTTGGGCCTGATGGAATAGATACATCTTTACTAAATAAATACAATGTATACTAGAGTACTTAATAAAGATATCTGCAAACTGAGCACATAAGCTAAATAAAAATGTCTCCTCTTAGTTCAGACATTACACCCAGAGCAGTTCCTTGTATCTGAGGAATGATTTGAAAGGATATACCGCGGTGAAGTGCTGGGCTGCAGAAGTGTCCCTATGTCCTTGTGAAATGTGGGCACCTCAAGCTGTTTCAACTCACTCTTTGGTTATTTACATGCTTTAGACACATCCTGTCATTAACTACAGTAGTTGGTTTGAGATTGTTTTCAGGATAAAGGAAACATTTTTTTTCCTGAAGGAAACTACTTTCTTCATAGTCCAGATTAAACGCAAATAGTAGCTCACACTTAAATACAGAATAAATGAAATGCAGTTGTGAGTGTGTGTGTGTGTGTGTGTGTGTTTGCTTTATTAATTGTAAGATGCTACAACCATTACCAAGCATTCAGAATTGTTATTTTTCCAAAGGCCAATACCAGGTTAGGAAGTTTTCATGTGGTTGCTTACCAAGTTGTAAAAAGAGCTGGGTAAAGGCTTATGGAAATTCTATGTCATGTCACATAAATAGATTTTTTTGTCACTGAAGGATAGATGTATAAAATGTCATAGTATTTTTTACATTGATATGTATTGTCCTTGTGTAATGTTCATATTCTTCAAATAATATACTGTATTTAATCTTTTGTTAAAAAGTAAGGCATTTGCATTTTTTTCCTAGAAAGATTACTTGCTAAAATTAAAAGAGTATAGATGATGTTCAAAAAACTGGTAGTAGATGTGCAATTAGACGTACACTAGCTGGACTGTCTAGGCATGCTGGATGCTTTGTAGTGACTGTAACTCACTCTAGTCACTGTTTTTGGCTCTCAGGCAGAAGTTTGTCATCTGTAGAAAGGACAGTGCAACTAAAAGGAGTCAGAGTCGCAGCTCCTCCCCTTTGACCTCCCAAAGTAAACAACCAATCTTGAAGGCAACAGTTAACACACACAGCTAAAAGAATGGTTCACTTACCATCAAATATGGTCAGCATGTTGAAGTTTAACAGTATCTATGATGGTTCTTTCCAGGGTAAATTCTTCATCTACTTATGTATTTATATGTGTATGCATGTATGTATGTGCATGAGTATGTATGTGTGCTTCTTTTAAAACTCAGTTAGCTGTGCTAACAATAGCTTACTAAAAATATGGACATTTCATTTGGACTGACTTGAACACACTTGATATTAAAATAGGGGAAACTAGAAATGCTGCCAGAGTGCTAGCTGCCCCAAGGCAAGGTGTCTGACCTGTTTTCTAGAGCCTGCTAATCATCTCAATGAACATGGGACAACATCACTCTTTCATTCCAAGACACACTTCAAGTTTCCACCGAGTTGGAATATCATTGATAAAAATCAGTGAAGATGATAAAACAACCTCATAGACACATCAAATGACCACAGAGGTGCACTAATGTGATGAAAGCAATAGATCAAACCATGCAGCTTACTACCAAGCTTCTTAATGATTAAACAGGTTTAGTCCAGTACAAACCGGTTACTCCTGTCACACTCCAATTGGGTAATTTAGCAACACTTCCATTTTATCATTGCTCTTCATATTTTCTTTCAATTTTTGGTCATAGTTATAGTCTGGATATCATGACCTTTTATGTTTGTTAAGTAAGTTATACATTTTGATCTGATCTTTGGCACTAATGGAAACCTTACCCTATTTGCCAAACCCCTTTAACTTTACAAACATGGGCATACTATTTAATTTCCACCTCTTGTTGCCCAATCGTTTCAAAAACATTTTGGTCTTTGTCAACTATGAAAATTGGGTAAGCCTCAAGTGTTGCAAAGGTCTAATTTCATGACTGGGATGTCAGGGCTTGCTGGTGTGTATGTGTGTGGGGGGGGGGAGGGTGTTCTCAGAGGTTAGAGTGCTCTGCAAATGCACGGGGCAGATTAGAGTCATTTATCTCATTCGATTTGCTCTTGCATATACACAACACAAGTCAGTGTTTGTTATGACTTTCCTGATCCTTATTTATAAGACAATACACGAGGAAACCATGTGTGTATGTTTGAAATAGAAATGATACATTGCACAGATATAGTTCCCTACTTTCTGGGATGGGCTGTCAGTGCTCAAACAGGGAGCCTGAGGAGTCAGAACAGATGCTCTTTTCCTTAATGGCCCTTTCTCTAATTTAAAATCCTTCCATTTATTTCCCTAAGATTTAGTGATAACTTTAAACACTTTAACTAAATTACCCAGTGGCTTGGCAGCCATCATGGAGGCAAATCTTTTTAGAGATTGTAGCAATCTGTTAGATCATGGGTACTATGATATAAAATCTGCATGCTCCACATACAAAAATTAAATCAGTGCAATGGATACAAGCACATGCTGCAAACGGCATCGCTTCCAAACCAAGGGGACACGACCTGTCTCCAAATATTGAATTTCTGCAAGATTTTCAGTCATTGACTTTCTAAATTTGAGCCAATTTATTCTCATTATCCCTAAGTAAACCTACTTTGATTTTTTAAACAGTTATTTTATAATCAAATAGAGCCTGCCAGCCCTGGTTCATGGATCCTGATGTTGCTAGGATACATGGTTTGGTATTTGATGAAAGTATATCACTTCAAAGGGGGAAAAGTTTCAAGTGTCCTAGAAAATGACACTCCTGTCTTCTACTACAGAAGACAGGCCCAATCCTGGAGCTTTTCTGAAGCTTACAATCTGCAGGATTGGCTTCCCCATGCTTTGAAATAAGCATCCTGTGTGGGGACTGTTCAGTTGCCAGCACTAGTCAAGTTGGTTTTAAAGCAAGGAACACATGTATTTATAATAAAAACACATTTTCATATTTAACAGTGAAGAGAAAAAACCCAGAACCCCCAGATTTTATGTACTTTGAAAATATATTTAAAAACATTAAAAATTCTATATTTAAAACATATATTATATGTTAATTGGTACACTTAAATAGATCCTGTATTTACAATAGGTTTCTGATGTGGTTAAGTTTTAATGCCAATTTTTCAATAACATAATTATATAAATATACTAAAATACAATAAATAGTTTTCTTGTTTTACATGGTGAATAATATCTTTACCATAGAGAGAACAAGGCCACAGACATTTACTTACAGTTTCAATGGGAATCACTATAAAAAAGCAACAGGTCTGCTGCCATGCATGAAACATTTCTGCCAAAAAGAGACCACAGCAAGACTTAAAAACAAAACAGAACAGAACAGAACCAGAACCAGAACAGACAGAAACAAAGAAACGATTTTAAAAACAAATCTCAGGTCAACATAAACCACCAAACATGTAACTATGATGGATCTTATTGGGTAAGAGAATGAGCCACTGACCACACAGCTGCTGAGTGTCTCCTAGGAAGCCACTTAACAGACCTGGCCCTTGGAATACTGTAAGACTGTGACGGGGATTCTTTTGTTTGTTTGACTGGCGTCTCTCAGAATGAAGCTGCAAAAAGTTAACATAGAGCAGATATTCCAAACATTCCTTAATAGGTTAAAAAACAATGACGAAGATTAATGTTGTCAAATAGCATAAAACAATCTGTACTACATAAAGTCTTTCTTTCAAAGGCAGGTATTCAGTGGTACTCCAGAAGGCAGGCTAATTCTAAAGGAAAGACTGGACAAAAAGAAACTGTTTGCTGATGGTATCTTCACTCCCTGAGTCACAATGGACATTCACTTTTGTTCATCCTTTCCCTTCCTAAGATGAAGCAATTTTTTTTGCCTCTTTTCTGATGTTCAAGAACCCAGATAAGTAACCACTAACACATTCACTCTTGGAAGAAGGCCAAATCAAGAAATGGGTTTGACACTAATTCTCACTGGGTCCATTCATTCAGTCTACCAATTTGACTTCTAATCCCAAAGGGTAAAGTACAGAGGGCACCCTCACCGTGAGTAGACAGAATTGCAGGAAGTTTCTGCACTCTTCACTGGAGCAAAATTTTCTCCTATGTTCTTGCCTCTTCTACAGTGCAAAGCACCTTCTTTAGTCTTGTTTCTGCCCGGGCTTTCTAACCTTCCTAGATATTGATCATTCCATTTGAGTTTTGGAGTCTTTTCCTTTTTTCTTTCCCTTCTACCAAAATGTCTCAAAAATAAAACCTAGACTTCTTAAATCTAGGTTCAAAACAAATAAGTATCATCATAGCAAACATTTTCTAACACATTGCATTAATCTCATCTTCACAAATGCTACATTTGGATCCAAACCTGCTCCAGGTCAATCCAACTTTCTACACAATTATTTAGGAACGGATGGAGGGCATAAATGGATTTGAGTGAGGTTCTCCAATTGAGAACCTCTTGAGCACTGTTAGGTAATGTAGGCACTTAAAGCAGGAGGTCTAAGCAACTTGACACATCATTCCAGAGCTTACTCTGAAGGGTGCTTTGTGCCTTCCTCTAGGAATGTCTCAAATACCATTCCCCACCTCCAGCTAGACCTCAGGATGGCCACTCAGAAATTCCTCCTGCATTGCCAGGAAATGGTATGTCAGCTCCACTTAGCCTCCACAGGGCCATTCAGTAGCATTTCAATGGCAGTGAGGATTCCGGCTCTGATCTAAGTGTCTGGCTGTATTTAGGGACTTTTGCCTGAAAAACATTGTTAGGCCTTATAATGATTTACCCAATGCTTACCACTTCCTTAAAAAAAAAAAAAAAAGGAATATTTTGGTTATTTATTTTTTTTTCTTTTTCTCTTTGGTGGGGGATAAACAAACAAACAAACAAACAAAAAACCCAAACAAAACCAAAAATCACTGTTTCCCATGAGGGCCAGGATATTGCAAACTTCTGTCACCTGTTCACAGTGGTGAAAAAAATTTCAAAGCGCACAACTAAATTTCTTTCTTATTATAAAACAAAACAAAAAGAGAGGACCAAAGGGAGAGGAGGGAGGGGAAGAATGTACTTTGAACAAAGTCGGGTTTTTCCAATGGAAGCAGCTTTCCCTGACCCAGCAGGGTGATCTGGGGACCAGGGAGATACATCATGGGCATGGAGTGTGAGCATTTTATTCAGTTGCCTTAATTTTTATTCACTTCCAGTCATCTGACTGGATTTTGCAAACATCTTTACAACATACAAATGTAACGTTTTATCAACCAGAATGGATACTGAAGAGATTTTCTCCATCCCTACTCCTGGTAGAACCAAAAGAACAAAACAAACAAACAAACAAAATAAAACACAAAACAAACAGAAATATACCCCTCCCTTCCCCCATTCCCTCAGCCAGTAAAGCAATGACAACAGCACCTTGACATTGTTTTAATTCCAACGCTATCAGAAGTCGAAAGCAGTAAAACAGAGTACTAACAATAACGAAGATACTTAGTGTCTAAAATGTAAACGGAATGTTTTGGTTCAAATTTTTGTTTTTTTTGTTTTTGTTTTTTTTGTCTGTTTTTGAAAGAGGGACAGTTTATTATCAATTCACAATTAAAGCAGCATGCAATTTATTTTTTTTTTTTTAACTTTTTGTTTTCAATTCTTGGCAACGGCAACAAACCACAACATTATCGAGGAATGTAATGCAGACTTTTAAAGTTGTGCGCAAATGACTGTTTCCTTTCTGGTCATGGATATGTCCAATAAATAGATTGTAGAACCACTGTACTGTATAAACTTCATTTATACATGCAGTTCATAAAATTATTTTTTTCTTAACTGAATAATTTACCCTGTTATGTATATATACAAATAGATAATTTTTATCTCAATATAATCTATACAACATAAATCCACTATCTTCCCCTCTTAATGGTCAGTGTACATACACAGGAAGTGTCTATCCTTATGAAACGCCAGCCAATTCTCTTTTTGCTATCCATAGTAAGCGCCCGAACATACGACTGGGTAGTTCGGCATTGCGAGTTCCAGTGCCTCTTGTCTATGCCCCTGCAGCCTTCCTTTGTGTAACCCATGGGATTACACTTGGTCTCGTAGAAATATTGCTTCAGTTGGCCTTTTGATACCGGGACTTTCTCCAGGACCGTGACGGTCCCACCCGACATGTCCACTGCAGTCTTTTTATCTGCCGCTGTGACCCACTCGCTAATACTGTCACACACGCTCAGCTCCCCACGGCGGGCTGGGTCGGAGTGGCGCCGGACCCTCATAGACATGTTTGCAGCATCCAGGTAATTTTTGTATTCCTCTAGCAGAAAGAGCAGAGGAGGCTCCAAAGGCACTTGACTGCTGAGCATCACCCGGGAAGTATACAAGTCCGCATCCTTATGGTTTTCTTCGTTGGGCCGAACCTTCTGGTCCTCATCCAGCAGCTCTTCGATCACATGTTCAAAAGTGTCAGCCAGGGATGTCGTCAGACCTCTCGAACCTGCCCTGGGCCCATTCACGCTCTCCAGAGTCCCATGGGTCCGCACACCTGGGTAGGCCAAGCTGCCTTGTCCATGGACGTTTGCTTCTTTCATGGGCGCAGCCTTCATGCAACCGAAGTATGAAATAACCATAGTAAGGAAAAGGATGGTCATAACTCTTCTCACCTGGTGGAACTGTGGGAAGGAAGCAGAGAGAGACACAGAACGGGTTAGAGCTTATTTTCTCTGGGACACCGTGTGACCCATCTGATTGTAATTCCAGACCATTCTGCAGGGTCAAGGGATTTTTTTTTAATGTCTTAGTGATACACTCCAGCTGCAGGGGACGCAAATCAATGTCAGGTAGTGTGCTGTATGTGGCTTAATATAAACCAGAGACATGCAATGCTTTCCCCAAGATTTACATGTAAGTCTGAGAGTAAACGGTTTCTAAGCAAGTGAACACAGTGGTAGCTTCACCGCTCCCACTTCCTCCTGCTTCAGCAGCTTTGGGAGTTGAATTTTTAATGACCTCGACTCTCGCTGTCACCAGAACCACTATCACAAATGTTACTAAGCAACAACTGCAAGTGGAATAGTAATCTTCCTTTCAAGTCAGCAAGGCAGTCCTGTGGAGGAATGGGTGGCAGAAACAGTAGTGTCTTGAGTGTGGGATGGGTCTCTGCAGCTCTGAGGAGCCTGGGCAGGAACAGTACAATAAAACGGCAATCCGAGAGCTGGGAGGGGCCTTTTTCTCCAAGATACAATGTCACCTACCATCTGTTTGGACCACCATGTTTTGCAGATAAGAAAGCTAATGGCCACATAGGACTGGTCTGGTGTCATGAAGAAACTTTAGATTAGGAACTGGAGATATCATCTCCACAGTTCTACTACATCTGGAAAGGTGTTGCTTATTTCCAAACAATTAATTTTCAACAGCTTGGTTCTAATGATGTGCCTGAGGCAGGTATGAAAACAATGTGTCTCTTTCGAGAAAGACGCATAGTCCACGAAGAAGCATGGAAGTCAGTATCACTGCCTCTTGCATGCAGACTCTACGCTCATCTCACACATCCCTCCTAACTCACTGAAGGCTCTTAGCCTGATGGCTTGTTTTGGCTAATCTACAGATCTAACTGAGAAAGCTCAACTTCTCTTTATCAGAGCACACCCGCCCCCTTGCGTATGTATGGTGTGTGTGTAAAACTCTGTTGCTGTGCCTTTACAAAGCTGAGTAGTGCCTTACACACTTTGAAATAGTTATCCAGAACATCTTTCTGTGCATGTGTAGTTTCCTACAAAGTCTCTTTTTTTTTTTAACAGTGCACCGCACACTTACATCACTTGTTTGCCACAATTTGGCCTTCTGTCTATAAGTGTGCCCTACAAACCCACTCAAAATTGAATAACAAAGCAAAAGTAAAACATACCTATAGACCAAACCAAGGCACATCAGGTGGTGGAAGACTTCAGAATTACTTACCTGAAGCACTGTACCCTTAGCACTAAGAGTAGCATCCCACTATTTGACACTAACTTTGTTTCTACCTATCAGCTCTGGAACATGGACTTGCGAAGCCATACACATACATTAATCATTATGCTGGTAAGTCCACAGGTGTTTCTGCCCATGAGGTGTTGTTGAATACAAAACAACCTACCTTCAGTCAATAGGGTGCAGTGGAGAAATGCCCAAAAGCTCTAGTACTGAATATCCAAGTTTCTATTGTTCACTTTAGAAAGGGATAGCATATTCTAAATCAAGAGACTTTATATCATCCCCTATACAAATTTCCTCATATATTCACCTTCTATTTGCATAAATGGTAAACATGCTTGGACAGAAGGGGCAGCTGAGCAACAAGAAGATGGGAGTTATCGAATGGGGTATCCTGAACAGGGAGCACAGAGAGCTTAAACTGTACATGCAGTGGGAATTCTCACCAAAATAGGACATAAAGGCTCACTCTCCTCAAGTCTAGAGTGGCATGAACATCATCTCGAGGCTGCTTTTCCTCAAGAGGGCAATTCATTCACCAATTGCAGACTTCATATCTATGTACAGCCTCCACACACCAGCCGCAGCAAAAGGAGGCTCTCCACAGAGCTGGCTACTCAAGCACAATCAGACAGGTAGCAAAGGGAGTGAGCGACATTCCACACTCACAATACAGGCAATGATTGAGACAGGTGCAGCATCCCTCTGAAGGAGGCTCCCATCTTCCTTCCTGAGGAGAATGGACACTCCGCCTCAAGCCTTCTCCCCTGTGCTGCACAGCGTGCCCACTAGTTGGTAGCCATGTCACCCTTAGCAAAGGGTACTGAGCCACTTGCCCCTCTGTGTCCTAGGACTTTTTGTTGTTATTGGACTGTCTTTGCACCCTTTGCCCAGGCATGATAAGCCAGTATCAGATTTTAAGTTACCCAGAACAGAGTCAGGACTATTTGTGTTTGCTTGCTTCTACCTTTTGTACTAGTGACTAGTAGAAGTTTAGTATAAATAATTAGGTTGTCATTATTAATAAAATCTACAAATTATGAGAGAGAGGGAGAGAGAGAGAGAGAGAGAGAGAGAGAGAGAGAGAGAGAGAGAGAGAGAGAGAGAGAGAGAGAGATTAGGGACTGCTTGAACCCCATGGTGATTTAAGTTAGAAGGGCAAACTGGTTTAAGGAACATGTCCCTGTGAATACTGCTAACATCTAAAGTTTTAGGAGTGTTTTTATGTAGTACCATTACAGAAATGGATCCTGCATGGAGGTTTCCGATCTGGGTGGTGATATTTATACCATGGAGAGAAACATTTTCCTAGTATCTCAAGTGCACACTTAAAGAACTCAAGGAGTTCTTCCAATTCAGGCTAATGATAGGGTACATCTTAAATTAGTGTATGTTGGTGCATGCTTTAATCCTAGCTCTTAGGAGACAGAGACAAGTGGATCTTTGTGATTTTGAGACCAGCCTATTCTATATAGTGAGTTCCAGGCCAACCAGGACACACAGTGAGACCTTATCTCAAAAATAAGTAAATAAACAGATTTTTCAGTTATCTTTATCACATTGATGAAAATTTGCCATTATCAGCTATTTTTATACCATATTCCATCAAATCTAAGACACTTTCATTTAAAGACACACAAGTTTAGGGCTGGAGAGATAGTTCAGTAGTTAAAAGCACTTGCTACTCTTGCAGAGGACACTAGTTCTGTTCCTAGAACCCACAGAGCTGTTCCTAACTGTAACTTCAGTTCCAGGGGATCTAATGCCCTCTTCTGGCTTGCATGGGCACTGCACACATAACACACACACACACACACACACACAGAGATAAAACACCCATATATACAAAATAAAATTAAATATTTTTAACAGCCTGCCAATTTATGTTCTATTGAAAAAGAAAAGCATGCTCTCAAACTTTGTTTTTCCCTTCCTAACATTAATTTTGTTTTACAAACAGAGTTCTTTTGCACTTATTTGGATATAATTTGTCCTATATAACTTTGGTACATACACAAAATTGAAAAACAAAGGAAATGTATGAAAGCAATGGCAGGTATGTAGAGATTGGCTGTCCAATAACACACGATAACATCCACAGGAGGATACACTCTAACTTAAAAATGTTGAAATACAAAAAAGAAAAGGTAAATTTTAGAAGTAATGAGATGTAGACTTAATAGGCAGTTACCAAATGGCTGTATTATTTAAAATGGTTGAACGTGCTGAGGCATCTTAGCTACAGAGTTAGAAATTTGTTTTATCACTACTACATTAATGAGTCTTAGGTCGGACATGGTTTCTTTGTACAGCTTTGGCTGTCTTAGAGCTAGTTCTGTAGACCAGGCTGACCTTGAACTCACAGAGATCCATCTGTGTCTGGGATTAAAAGTGTACACTATCACTGTCTGGCCACTAATGAGTCTTTTAATGATACTTTTTTCTTCAGCCTTTCATTGGTATCCTTTATCTTTTTTATTTTTAACATTATGATAAAAAGTAATTAATGCTTTGTATGTCTTTCTCTCATCAGTTACACAAGCAACTTCCAAGTAAAAAATTGGCATCTGAATAAATGACTTGGATTTTACGCTACGTCTACATATAGATATTGCTCCAAGCTGAGCATCTAAATAAATTCAGTAATTAACTGGATGGTAACACATCCAGGTCCATTCCTCTGACACCCTCTGAGTGATACTTCAGCAATTCTTTTGGCCTATTTGCTGAAAATGCTTTAGAAATCGCCTTGAAAAGTAGCTCAATACTTTTTGTGAGCACAATGCCCTACTTTGCCTGTTTATTATATGTTACTTCCTATGTGCCCCAGGATGGCCTTGCCTCTAATCTCAATCTTCTTGTCCCAGCTTCTGAAGTGTTGGGAATATAGACATAGACCATCATGCCCAGCTCTATTTTGTTTTCTAACCATGGTTTCCTAATATTTTAAGTACTCTTGGAGTTGGTGAAAATGTTCAGAATTAAGTTTAATGACACATTTCCTATATAGCCTTCAAATCTAGTCAATAAAGGCATTTTGCCAATGTTCCCATTCAAACTTATCCCACCAATACCTATTTCTCTAGCACACTGAGACTATACTAGCTTAGTCTTCATTATTTCCTTTTTTGAACTATAATGTCCCCTTGCTGTATGGCATAACCCTTTCTGCCCTATAATGTTCCTGGCAAAATACTCCTGTAGATTCTCTTACACAAAAATTTACAATGGCTTTAATTTATGTCTGTTCTGATCAGACCAGGTCCTTGGTCGTCATTGAAAATTATTTTATTTTCTCTGCAAACAGACCCCCTTCCTTTATACCTCTAGGAAACTGAGTCTTAGTTGTTTTTCATGACTTAGTTTATGCATTAAAATTTGTCATAGCTGCCACCTTCTATAATTACTCCAGCACACGCTGTCTTCGTTCTTCTCTTTAATTCTACATTATTATTGTACTTGGTACTTCATGCCCTCTATATCTGTCATTAACAGAACTTACTAGTTATGTCAGTCTTCTGCAAGAAAATAAGTTCTCTGAGGAAAGGGATCATGTCGCACCTTTTGCAATGTTCACAGAGAAAAATAATAGTAATAATCTATAAATGCTCATTTATTAAGCCAAGAGAAAGAAGAGTTCTGATGCCATTTCACAAGAAGTCTGATCAGTTGAATACACTGATAGTTTTAGTTA